TATAATGCGTCTGATAATTTGTCCAGGGATTTTAGAAAGTTTAATTTGAAGTTGAATGAAAAGAACTTTTAATACTTCATTAATTTTCAATGCAATTAATGGTATTAGTATAATTTATCTATCAATAAAATCAATTAGCAATAATCTCTCAGAGTCCTTATCTTTTGATAAGTTAAAAATATTAACAAAAATGATAAAGTATTTCAATTCATTACAATTAGAAAAAAATAACTAGCTGAAAAGAAGTCTTATTTGCAACAAAATAATATTATATCACAATACAATAATTGTAATGATTGAATTTTAGAACTGCAGAATTATAAAATTAATAGCACGCATTATTAGTATGATATGGGGAAAGAGTTTTTTATTTAAACCAATCCTTTGTACAATATTTACATTTAGCATACCATAACTGGTCAAATGACCGTTTAAGAATTTTTGCATCGAAAATGCGCTCATCATCTTATCGTTTTTGCACATTTGACTTCATGACTTTGTCTAACAATTATATACAGTTAATAATCTATTATTACTATTTGTATATGGTTTGTTAAGTTTTTAGTATTTCTACCACAACCGGTCATTTGACCGGGAGAACAATTTATTGCTTTATAAGGTTATTGGATCGGAAATGACGATGCAATGCGTGTTCTACGTATTGCATTCGATGAATTGCACATTTCTGCAGAGACTGTTGCGTCGTGAGTTCAATCAGAATAACTGTGAATTCAAATTTGAAGAAAGTGCCTAACATTTTAGATTACTCATTTTTGTGTCAGAAAAAGTGACAATATAACTAAACGTTTTGGCAAGTAGCTTATATTTTATGTTGATAGTTTTACTTCATTTATAACTAACTGTTAGTTTTTACCCAGAAAAATGTCGAAACTATCGAGACAGCACAAGTTCTTAGAAGAAATAATAATAATTACAAGAATAACTATAAAAATTATAAATCTCATATATTCTTATAATTATAAGAATTATTGAAATAATAATAATTAGAAGAGATATGTTTGCGGAAAAAAGTAAAATGGAAACACCCTGTATATGTTAAAATTGCGTTGAGCAATGATTCTTTGTGTGTTGTAATACATAAAAAATGGGCAATACACAATTTCGTTTAATTATGATGAAGTTTTTTTAGTGCCTTCCAACCATCCATATTTCATGCATTCAATGAAGAAAGATTAAGTCTGCTCATTTGACCGACTACGGTAGAAATAGGTTTTATATTAAGTGTTAAACTTGCTAAGTCAGGGATGGCGAACCAATGGCACTCGACGCAATATTTTGTACACTCCACCGATCACAATTGTTGTTACACTATGAATTGTTATTGCACAAATGTTATTACGCTATGAGGCATATGTAACAATTAAATTAAAATTCACAAAAAACAAACAAAATAATAAAAAATTATTAAAAAAAATTTAAAATGCTAAAAAAACAATTAATAACCGTAAAAAAAACAAGCTAACAATAAATAACTAGCAAAAAAAAAATCAACAGTCCTGCTTGAACAAAGATCTTACAACCTAATATAAAAAATTGGTCATCTAATCTGCAACAACAGAAGTCACACTGATGTTACTTCAAGTTGAAATACGCGTATAACTGAGACATTGCAAAATGTTTTTTTTTTCAATGTAAATAAAGAGTTGTGAGTTGATATTATTTAGTATAATTATTTTCCCAATAATCACGAAGTCAAAATTATTTGACGGCACGTCTAGGACCTCATAAGGCAATTTTTTTTTAGAGAAAATGGCACGTTGGTGTATAAAGGCTCGCCACCCCTGTGCTAAGTAGTCAAGAAATAATTTGCAAAGTGAGATTAAAAATTGTTTCTTACTAAGTCCAGCTTCTGTTTTTCCCCATCCAGTGATGAGTCCTTTGCGGCCCTGAAAATTGGCATCTTTTCTCGGCAGGCAGATGGGCAAGATATTTTCTTGGTATCGAACAGCCTTATCGAGTTTTAAAAGAGCCACGTCGAATCTGTCAGGATGAGCAGCCTGGTACTGGAATTTCGGATGAATTTTCTTTTCGACGACTGCGAAAGTTTGGGGAGCATTCTCCTGCCTCGAATGATCCTGAATGTCGTAGACCCCTAACTGGATACTAATATCCGGTAGTCGAACTCTACAAAAAAAAAATGAATGAAATAAATTTTTTTCTTCCAACATACAACTGAAAGGTAGACAAAATACTCACTGATAGATGCAATGCGCAGCGGTCAAAACGTAGTATTTATTTAAAAGTACTCCACCACACTGTTGGCGTTTCAGTTTTATATGTGCCTACAAAGAAAGAAAAAGTTTGTAGAGATTGTGATATTTTTTTTTACTTGCATAGATTCTAACTAATATGGAGCGATGGTGTCTGCAGGTGATAGAGCGTTGGCCCCCTAATGAGGTGAACCGGGTTCGTATCTCAGCGATGGCGGGTCGATACAAATTCCTCACCCGGTTAGCACCGACCTCAGTGCTGACGTAAAATGTCCTCAGTGGCAAACGGTTCATGGGCTAGAGGTTAACTGTGGGAGGTTTTCGTGGTTTGCCTCTCCATGTAACGCAAATGCGGTTTAGTTCCATCAAAAAGTCCTCCACGAAGGCAAATTTTTCCCAATACAGGAGTTCCCTTGTCTTCTGGTTTGCTTTCAAAATGACAAGGCTACGGAGTTGAACATTTGTACTCGTCGCCCAAAAATTGAGTCGGCTGTTTAGGGACAGTTATAAAACTACTAACTCTGTTTAGTGATAGACAAAATTTTTATTTTAATTATTATTCATTATTTTAATTATAATTTATTAAATTATAGAATCATAATTAAAAATAATTATAATTTATTCTGAATTATAATTCTAATTTATTAAAACATTTCCCTCGCTACCACTAGAAAAATTTCAAATCAAGGAGGAGTTGAAGTTTCTGCACTTGTTAAAAAGAACAGAATCTTATTTTTATATTTTAGGGGAATAATCTTAACTAGAGTGATATAGCATAATAAAATTAATGCAACATTTAGTAAAAATCGATTTTGGAAATTGTTAACGGAAATCTTGAGATTAGAAATTAAAATAAAGATTGAATTAATTTTTTTTTAAAAATACATCATACGAATAAAAATCACTACATTATTGTCGCCAAACTGCTGTAAAAGCATAAATTGGTTGCCAACCTTTTGAAATGAAATCAAGAATTTTTGCTTATTCACCATTTAATCTAAAAAAAACAAATCCTACTGAAAGTCTTGGACTCTTGCATGACGTCATAGCATGACTTTTTTTTAACGTCCCGAGTTTGTTTACGTTAAATTTCGTCTTTAATACAGTTTAAGCGGTAGGATCGAAACAGTAGTGAATATTTTTAAACAATTCTGCACTTTATTTTTATTCTTAATTAAAAAAAATGATATAGGGTAAGCTAACCAGTGAAGGAACACTTAAGATTCGCTTGCCTTTTAAAAAATCATATTAATTTCAAAATTCGTTATTTTAGTTAAATGACAGTGTCAACATATTTGTTACTAATTGCAAATTATGCAAAAAAAAATTTAGAGGACTTACATAATATTGTTTTAAAGTTTTGGAGGTTCAAATAAGTAGTAAGAAGACCAAGTGAAGGAACAGCTTTTGCCAGTGAATGAGCACCCAGTAAAGGAACACTTAATTTTGGTTATCTTTTAATGCTCTTTATGAATTTATAAGCCATACAAATATTTTAAAACAAGCCTATTCTTGAAATTATAACATATAAATACTTTGAAAATGTTAACTTTTTTTTTTGTAATCATGAATTGAAAATTAAAGTGTCAACATATTAGCACATACTGTTCATTCACTGGGAAATCTATGTCCAGTAAAGGAACATGCCTGTTCCCTCACTGGTTTGAAGTTGTTTTTCGTATTTTTAACATACTTTTGATGCGGAACATCACTAAATGTACAAGAAAATTAGAGTTTATCTTTTATTTTCATTAACTCAGAAAAAAAAACCCAGTAAAGGAACACTTGTTCCTTCACTGGGTTTTCATCGAGTCAATAAACACCCTCCTATCTCAGCACTTTATTATGTTATGATGCTTAAAAAAAAATAAAACGTAACGTCAATAACTATATTTTGAATTCTCTTTTTCAAAGTGAGAAAACTATTACATGCAATTAATTCCACTTCAAACATATAATTTTTTCAAAGCAACAAGGTGTTGCAGAGATAATAACAAATTCAAAAAATTTTCCAGAGAAGTTTATTTGACCAGGTAATCCAAAACATTGCAGCCTATTGTTTGGCAGTAAGCTATTGTTACCAATCAATCTAAAGAAAAAACTTTCAAATTCTTATTTTTAATCAATATATATGAAATGTTACTTCACTGGGTAGTGTTTCTTCATTGGTTGGTTTACCCTAGTTTGTTCGTTGCGTTAAAAGAAAAAAAAAGATCGTTTAGGCTCGGAACAAAGGCGCTTTGTTTACAAATAAATAAAAAATTACGAAATATACTCAAATGCACGAAATATACTCAATACTCAAAAGGATACTCAAATGCACGATTCGAAATTTCCATAATGTTTAAAATAAATCGGGATATTTAAAATCCGTGTGAAATCAATATCAATAAAACTGCCGGAAATACAATCGAAAAATTACATCAATTTACAAATACTATCGGCGCAAAGCGTCAAAAAGTGATTATTTAAATGAATGATTTAAATATTACGTGAAAATTTCTGTAGAAAAGATACTTTTTTTAATAATCGTTCTACAAGAACTCTAACGTTCTGCGACAATAAAAAAATGCGAATAAATGAAAATGAATGAATAACTCATTATACGAAAAAAAAGGGATTATATAAATAAATTTTAACTATTAAAAATATAGTTAATAATAAATGATTAACTATAGGAATATATATTGAATGATTAGTTTCACTACGTGATTAAATTTGCTCAATTATTTTACTAGAAAAAGTGAAAAATATATTCAGCTTCTTTTTTTCAAACTGACTTGCACTTAAGCAAAAGGATCTGAGTTTTATTAAACAAGAATTCATAAATAAATATCTTAAGTGAACTTAAGATTCACAAAATGATGAAAATTTAACTGGAGTTCATTTAGAAACACTTTTTTTTTTAATCAAATTTTTAAACAATTTTTCAATCAATTTTATAATCAACTTTTTTTTTTTTATCTTCATAGCTTTCAAAAGAATCTTTTTTTAAACTTTAAATAAAAAATATATTCAAAGGGCACAAATGAGAGTAAATCAATGCATTCCTATCATCCGATCAATAAGCTCCTCTTATTGTGCTGCTCCACCTATCGATAATATAGAGAACTACCGTAAGGAATAAAGTTCCTGACAGTAAAAGTGAATATTACCTGCCATGGAAACTCTCCATACATAGCATCGTTTCCACCAATGATTCGACTTTGAGGTTTTGCTTTAATTAAACCACAATCTGTAATTAAGTAAGAACATTTCATTTTAAAAGAGGATACCTGCAACTTGTACAGTCATTAAAAAAGATTTTACAGGACAATAAAGTTTGGAAGAACTTTTAAAAAAAAGGTTAAAGAAAAAAAAAAGAAAACTATTAAGACATCTGTAAGCATAATTATTCACAAACAGATCATATGCACAAATTTTTTTTTAAAATATTGATTCGTCGTTGTCGTTAAAAAAAATTTTTTTTTTTTGAAACGTTAAGCTTTAAGATTTAATACGCAAAAAGGCTACCACTAAGATAATTAATTTTCAACGGCAGCTATGGAACCAAGTTCTCAAACACATAAGAATTGATAACACAACACATTAAAATCGCGATATTATGACCAGAGATGGCAAATTAACGGTAAATAACTACAAACAAAAATGTAGACATAGCTTTTTAGCATGAGTGTTATAAAGTGGTGAATATATAAGCCTTTATTAAGAAATAGTGTGGTGGATATGGAATACATTAAACCAAGATCATAATCGAAAATATTTACTTGCTGTAACATTTTGTTGGAGCAATCTCTGTATTGCATAAATAATAGAGATACCATAAATATTCACAATATTATACATAATATAATCGCGAATATTATGTCAATTTTAGTTGGGTAACGAAAATATTAACCCACGTAAAAACAATATAAGTTTGAAATATAATATAAGTTTGATAGCAATATAAGTTTGAAAACAATAAAACTGAAAAAGAAAATATTGCGATCTATTGTTAAATAGCAATATATTTGAACAATGCATCACAATGTTAAAGTTCAGGGTGATGGGTCCCCATTATCAATTATAGGGACTAATGTTTGTGTTGGCGTCATCTCAGAAAAACAATCTCTGACCTACTCCCTATAACAAATAAGTACCCATTCGAGTAAAATAAAGAAAAATAATTCATATATTTTCATCAATTTTATTTAAATTTCATTATCAATGTTTATTTAAAATACTAAATATCATTTAATTGCATTATAAATAATAACACTTTTCGATTCGCGATAGCAACCCAGAAGACCGGTTACATGTCTTGGACCCTCCCTCTTCTCCTCTTCTGTTGTATATAATATTTTTCACTTTTAAGTATTAAATATATTTTCTAAACATTTCCACTACGCTTTCTTCAAGAACTAAGTTTAATGCAGTTCTGAGCAGTATAGTTTCCTATCCTAAAAATATTTTAATTTGTTTAAAAACAAACACGAAATGCAACTTATTCGAAAACAACCTATAAATATTCACACGCTGCAGAATGCTAAGTGCTGTCAACCCCCCGTCACCTGTGGCCCATTTCGATTGCCAATCGTGAACACAAATGTATGATTAATAAATAAGATACTGGTTTTACAATATGTATTGTCTTACTTCAACTTAGGTACTGTATTTACTTTGCACAATGACCTATTGGTCTCCGTCATTCCTGAGCATCACCCGGAGACATGCTATCACAATTATGCCAAATTACTTGTGAGGACACTTTCTAAATTTAGACATAGATCTAAAAGAGACGGAATTCCAGATTGCTGTACCTCAGAATCCGTTTCTCTAACCGCTGCCCATTCAACATATAAAGCAAAGCGTTAAAAAAAATAGAACTTTTAAAGAAAGAAAAACTTCATGCTCTCAATTTTAATACCTGTCGTGCTGCCATCTATCAATTTGTTTAATAACCAAATATGTGCTTCAGATTTCTATCACGATTAAGAATTTTCTCATTCCCAAGGCTCCAAACCGTTTAATCGCCTTTGAATACTAAACAACAAACTTAAAAATTTTTGCGCTCAATATTAAAACAAATTATATTAAATCAATATGAATGAGTACATTTTGGTCTCACTTTTCAGGTCAAAAATAATAAGAGTTCTGAATTTTTTCAAATGACGCATTTTATCAGACAGAATATGTTTCAATGATCCATACAGAGGAGAATGCAGCCTGATCTGAAGTTTGCCATTAAAAATTCAGAAATGTGTTTTCGGAAAAAATGTTTGATAAAAACTACCATGATTTTTTTTAATTTTTCAATGATACATTTGTAATAATTTAATAATTATTTTAAGCAGTTTAGTTAGAAATATTAGGTACTTCAGTTATTTTTAAATTATTGTAAGCATTATTGATACTTGAATCTGAATTAAAATTTAATCTGATTTAAATTTAAAATTAATTTTTAAAAATAATCAGAATTGATTTTTTACTAAAATCATATTTGAACCCCGCCCCCGATCAGCATTTTTTTTCTTTTTTAAATTTATAATGAGTCAATTCTAAAGAAGACACTCTCTGTAGAAGAAGAAGTACTTACAGGTAACGTTATTTTGTTTTGGGGTTGTCAGAAAAGGCACTTCAGTCGTCGTTTTGTCTACCGTGTTTTGTACTGGAGGTACAGTCTTCACTGGGGACCATCGATAAGTAGGTCTCGGTGGTTGCGTCGCAGGTGAAGATGGTGGTACGCAGCATGTGGAAAGAAAACTGCCCGGGCATGTACCCGTTGGCATTCCTCCTCCCATAATACACAATAGAACAAACATGCAAGTCGATCCTGGATATTGACTGCAAGCATCTGCCCTCCTAATGTGTTGTTGAAGTACATAGCTTTGTGCCGGGTAACTTTCATGAAAGATATTCCCATCTGTAAAAAAAGATTCACATTTGTGGTCTCGCAATTGTACTCATCTAGATATTTACAGAGTCTCCCCAAAAGGAGTCATCGTTATGAAAAGGTACCCCAACGAGTTAACATGTCTTATATTCTAGTGAATTGTATTTTTGTAGAGGTAGACACACTACAATAATGTTCGAAGGTTTATATCATTTCGTTAAAAATATATTTAACAAAGATAAAATTTTCCTTAAAAGGTTCTGAAAAGTTTTCGATATGTGGGAAGTTACTTTTAGAAAATAACAATTGTTCCCGCATCGATAGGTGATGAGAAGAAACTCTTCCTAATTTCAAGTCCTGAGTGGTGAACTTTTAAGTTAGGGTTGGAGCGCATGATCGCATTTATTTTACACATCTTTACGCTAAAAAGGCAAAGCACGCTGTTTATAGCTGTTGTTTTCTGTTTAAAACTAACTTCGAACTAAAAACATGGAATGCGAATTTGAAGAAATGTATTATATTTTAGCTATTTCCACATTATGAATTATATTTAACTATGCAATTTTTTTAAATTTCATATTTCATTTTATAACCGACGTTGAACAGCCGACCCAATTTTATGGGTTTGTGACTACTCATGTTCAACTCCGTAGCCCTGTCATTTTGAACCCAATTCAGAAGACAAAGGAACTCTTGGATTAAGTATTGGGAGCAAATTGCCTTCGCGGAGAATGTTTTGATGGAACTAGCCCGCATTTGCGTGACATGGAGAGGAAGACCACGATCGGTTAGCTTGACGATGAGGAAACTCTAACCCATGATCCGTCTACCACTCAGGATACACACTGTGGTCGGTGCAAGATTTGTATCGATCAAACATCGGTGGGTTTCGAACCGAGTATATAATTTAGTTGAAATAAGTTAAATAATTAATAAAAGTTCAATAATATTTTTTTAAATATTAAGCTGCATTCTTTACCGCCGATTTTATAAGAATCTATAATCTACCAAATTTTTCTGCTCACAAATTCGCAGTTTTTGGTAGAATAAAGCATTTTGAATCGGTTTTAGAGATATAGTCTGCATCCATTGTAAGTGTTTGTTTTGTGGTCAAATATAAAATGATATTCCTCGTTTTATAACTTACGGATTTCTACAAAATCTTATTTTCACTTAAGTTTTTATATTTTTTCGCGGGTTCATTTTACCAGAACTGTCGCATGCGCACTAGAAGACCTAATCAGATATGATTGTGCTCCGGAAAAAGTCCGGATATCCGGGTTTTTCGCTAACTGCGATCTGGAAGTTTCCAGAAATCTAAGGTCCAGAAGTTTCAAGAAGTCATCGATCACATTTATGTATAAAAATTCTTGCGTATTTTATTTAAAAATGTTAGAACTACAATTTATACTTGGCATCTCTTTCATTTGTCAATATTTTTTACGGTAGAATAATAAATGTGATGAGAGATAAAAGAAACTTATGCATAATTATTCATTTAAATTAAACTGCATATAAATTTAGAATATTTTTTGAAAATATCAATTATTTAAATGCATTGATATTTTTTGAAATGCTTCATTAATGATTTTACTCAAGAAATTTTCAGGAGTCACCCCTGCCTTGTGAAATGAATTTTGAATTCAAAAATACAAAGTCTTTAAACAATAATGAAAAAATAGAAACGCTTTCTTTAGAGGGTCATTAGGTTGTAATAAATCAATTATATGTTCCTCGAAACTCATTTACCATTAATCCATGAAAAGAAAAAAAAGTACTCTTACCTTGAATCTTGAAAGGGTTATAATAAGCATACTGAGCATTCACACAGTAAAAGCAACAGAGTAGGGCTGCATATCTTACAGTACTCAGGTCCATAGGTTACCCCTACACCTAATACTGAAAACAGAAAATATAAGGTTTTAATACTTTTTTTTTAAATTTCTAATTGCAGTGTTATTGCTAACACTTGAAAGACTTTCATATTAACTATACTTAACTAAACTGCAGATTAACTAGGGTGATCCATTAATTGATATTAACTCTTGATATAATGTTCCATCTTGATAAACTCAATTAATTGATATTAACTATACTTAACTAATCTGCAGATTAACTAGGGTGATACATTAAGGTGCAGAATCAATCGTTAAATCAAGGATTTCCGTATAATTAAGGTTCAAAAATTTGTGTATTAATGAAGGTTCCTCGGTTGTTGCTAATTTGAGCACGTATCCATAGTCCCCGTGGCAGAACCGTGGCGACATTGTCGAAGAACTTTACCGAGTTCTTGCAGATTTTTCTTTTAGGAAGTAAAAACTTTTTTTTTCTGCAGAAATTTTCGAAAGATTTTATCTTTTTCTTCAGAATTATATTCAAAAGTTGTCTTTCTCGCTCATCCGAGTGGGGGGGGGGAATGCTTTTTCTATTATCATTTGAGAGCAATGAAAAATAAAGAATTAAAAATTTGGGATCTAATTTTATGAAATGCAGTTACTACTATTGATTTCCACATTGGTTTTTAAAGTCAAATATTTTTAATTTATGACAGCAACTGACTCTCGAAATGAAAACGCGCATTTAGTAACCCTTTTTTGAAGAGTCCGATTTATTGCTACGGATTTAACGCATTTATTTATTTTTTTAATGAAAAGATGATTTACAAAATGCGAAAAAGGAAATAATGACTGTGTTTTACCCCTACAAAATGCGAGAATATGGCCCACACTATTAGAATTTTTAAAAAAATTAAATATTTAATGAAAAAATTATTTTATTTGATCGAAAAGTTTTTTTCTTTCATTTTTTTCCCTTTGAAGTTGATGCTTTTGTTACTTTAATTTAGCAACATCTATATTTGTTATTTTTAAAAGTATCTTGCAAAAAGATATTAGTATTAGAAGTATGTTGCCCGCCCCCCCNAAAAAAAAAAAATTCTGCTTCAGGGCTCCTAGTTAATCTGCTAGATAATAGAAAAAATAACCCGTTTCTACGCGATCTCACAACAAGTAGACATTTATGACACTCAGTGAAAACCTCAATTATTGTTAAAAGATTTTTTGGCACACTATTGTAAAATATAAGTTTCAACAAAAATACTGAACATTACTACCATTGAAATACAAAATTACTGCAATTGAGAAAGAAAAATTTTTGAGAGCATAGATGAACTGCGTAATAAACTAGTTTTGGTCTTTAGACGGAGAATCCCGTCGTAAAGACACTGTTCACAGTAGAACGCTGGCTGCTATCAGTAAGCGGTTGGGTGACCACTTGCGTAGGGACCGAGAGTGTCGGGCTTCCAAGGCTGCAGAAGAAGGTGGCAGGTCAGGGATGTTTCCCAGACCGTCGACAATCGCCCATTGTGAGCCGCGGTGGCTCAGAGGATAGAGCGTTCACCTTCCAATGAGGTGAACCGGGTTCGAATCCCAACGATGGTGGGTTGATACGAATTCCGCACCCGGCTCGCACCGACCACAGAACTGACGTGAAATATCTTCAGGGGTAGACAGACGATCTATGGGTTAGAGTTCCCTCGCTGTCAGGCTAACCGTGTGAGGTTTTCGTGGTTTTCCTCTCCATGTAACGCACATGCGGTTTAGTTCCATCAAAGAGTCCTCCATTAAGGCAGATTTCTCCCAATACGTGAACCAGGAGTTCCCCTGTCTTCTGGATTGGGATCAAAATGACAAGATTGCTAAGTTGAACATAAGTAATCGTAAGCCCTATATTGGGTCGGCTGCTCAGCGGCAGTAATAAAGTAAAAAAAAAAAATTTTAAAAATGGCCCATTGTGCAGCTCAAGTGTGACGTAAATAAAGCACCTAATTATCTTGGACAGTGAATTGATCATTTTTAAATTTCTTTTAAATTATATAATTATTAATTGTACATTTCCCATCACTAATAAACTTTTAAATGTTTCGTAAGGAATCACGGGTTTCTGTTAACACAATTAATAATTATTATCTCTGGTACCACAATTAAGTATCACCAGTACACCAAGTACTACCACAATTACGTATCACCCGGATAGTATTCACCTTCTTATGTGCTGTTTGATGAGCCAATGAATCTTAAAATCGTTTGTTAATTCATTAAAGTAAATCATCATCTGAAGCAGACAATTGTCGGAAAACAGAGCAGAAATAGTCACTTAAAAACCGCAACGCACAGTTTTAATCGTAACTTTAACGGACTCGGATTGCACAACAACGATGTGAAAACAGAGACGTTATTTTTGAATTGTTCTGTTTGTTTGTTTGTTCGTCTTACCTTATTAATTCTCTTTACCCTTCTCTTTAAGATTGATGCTTTTTATGAAAGATCCAAGTGATTGTAACATAAGTGGACAAGATAACGGATGATAAAAATTACATTCCTGTGTAAAATAATTTTTTTTTATTTTTTATTTTTACGTTCATTAAATTTAGAACTTTTTTCATTAAGTTTTCGAGCTGTAAAAAGTTACTTTCATTTCGAACGGAAATATTTAAAACTCAAAACTTGAAATTAAATATTTTAAGATTTTCCAAGTTAGAACTGACGATTTATTTATTCAGTAAGTATCTTAAAATCCACTTAGAGTCCAGCACATTGGATTACATTTACAAATCGATTGCCCATGTAAAAATGCATATTAATGAACCCTCGTTTAATAGCAATAAGAGAAGTAAGAAATTCGATTCTAGTCAACTTATAGAATTGCTTATAAGAACAAGGGTTTTTACTTTATTTCAAAACCGTCGTTTCGTTAAGCAGGCGACCCATTGAGTTTAGGAAGTTCAACTTCATAGCCCTGTCATTTTGAACCCAATCCAGAAGACAAGGGAACTCCTGTACAAAGTTTTGGGAAAAAATTGCCTTCGTGGTGAACTTTGGATGGAATTAACCCTCATTTGCGTTGAATGGAGAGGAAGACCTTGTAAGCTTTTCACGGTTAGCCTGACGGATCCATGCTCTGTCTATACTTTTGAGAATATTGCACGCGAGACTGTGGTTGGGTATCTAATTCGTATCTATCGCTGTCACCTCATTGGAAGGCGAGATCCCCTGAGCCACCACGGCTAAACACTGTTCCTGAAATGTTGGCTCTGTTGACCAAGCATTCTTGGAACAATTTCTTGAAATATCGACTCTGTTAAGGTCGGTATAGCCTGGTTGGTAGGGCTCCATGACTAGACTGCTATTTATTCCTACACAGTTAACATTTGGTATGTTACTTCAATTCATTTCAATATTGGTAAATAGTTTTTTTTTCCCGAAAAAAAATATTTAAGAAAAAAAGAATTCTGCAAAAATCTAAGACATTAACTAATTTGCAAAAAAATACCTTTATATTTTTAAAAAACTCAATTAAGCTTTCTAAAAAAGAGCATCTTTGACTGCTTCGAGTCATTGACAAGATTTTTTATGGCTTTTATCGTGCGCGCATAACATTATAGTACTAATTTGAGTTCTAAAGCTCCTTGCATTGTTTTTAAAACGTATTTGTATTTCTATAACGCCAGTGCTTAAAGGCCTGTATAGCCTGGTCGGTAGAGCACTGGACCCATGTCCAAGAGTGTGTGGTTGATCCCCGCCCGCCGAAGATTCCCCATGTAGTAAATGGTGTCTGATGCACGTTCAATCTGTCGAGTCGCAAAGTCCTCCATGTTCCCGTAACAAATCAGAACATCTGGGGATCCAGGCGTTTCTTTGTCTTCTGGGATGGGTTCAAAATGACAAGGAGTTAAACAGGAGTAGTCGTAAACCACTGGACCGGTTGTTCAACGACGGTCATAAGATTGGCTCTGTTAAATTAGGAGATGGTCGATCACTCATTAATGCAAATCAAAAACTTTTTAAGATTATTCATAACTTTTTGCATTATTTTATTCAATAATGGTAGATATAATTTTGAAGGGTAAGCGGTCTACAAAGTTTCATATTATTTTAAACTGCATCGTTTCAACGGACAAAATACAAATTAAGAACAAAATCGGTCAACTAATAATTGAGTTATAAAATATAGGAAATATTTTTAAATGCTCGCATAGTTTATGTTTTCTTGTAGATTGAGAAAGCATCTAAATATTAATCATTTTCATATTTTGAGTATTTTACAAATATCTTGAAGTACTTAAATTGAGCAAATATATGATTTTCTTTCATTAGTCGAAGTATATATACACAAAAAATTTGAGATAGGAAGAAATACGCAAAAAGTAAGACATTAAGGGGTACGAACTTTGCTCTCCAGAACCAAACTATGGTGGACCCTAATTCCCAGATTGAGGCCTATATTTTGGGAGTCACACAAATTCTAAACCGTCGGGTATGTTTATTCAGAGAAAGTAAGTTTTTGTGACTTAAGATATCTAATTAATCAAATGATAAAAATTACATTCCNCCCCCCGAGCTATTCAAATTGTGTTCTGAAACTTGAAGATCCGAGCATTCAATCAAAAGTTATTCAGGATGGTTCTGTAAAACAAAAGAGGAATCTGAAAAATGATTGGACGAAAAAGCTAAAGTAGATGTAGACCTTCGGAGTTAAATCAAGTGAATAATTTGTTTGGAAGAGAAAGCTTCTCTTAAAGATCCAAAAAAACTGAAATTCGGATGTAGGTCATCTTAATGAAATCGATTCTAGCAATAGAATCTTAACCGGTTGTGGTAGAGACAGCACTGAAGATGTATAACTGTTACCATGAATGACTGAAGTCAAGAGAATGTCGACATTCACCGGTGAATGTCATTTGGTAAAGGTCCGAAATATTTGTTACTAATTAATTTGTTGATATTATTCGATATATCTTGATTAGGAGAAACATCAGTCTTCGGAGCACCCGTTAGTGGCATTTGAAAAAAAAACCCATTAGGGTAGGGCATACCGGGCACTTCACTAGACCTAGTATA